TTTTTTTTTTTTTGCTATAGGGCGCATGCGCTCGCCAGAAAAACAGAGAGAGACAGAGAGACAGAAAGCAAGAAATCATCCCCCAGGGAGGATGGCCACGCCACAATCCCTTCTGCTCCATTCTCCTATTGGGATCTTGGGCACACAAACACATGTGCCTGGCATGAGTTTAAGTCCAGGACTCAAACTGTAATCAACTACATGGGAGTCCAGCGACATAGCCATTACGCTAACTGCTGGTCCTAACCAGTGTGCTTTTCAAACTTCTGGGTCTGAGACTTGAACTGCACAGTTGGCCATGTGGGATTCAGCCACCTTGACCACCATCCCACTGGCTAGTCAGAACTTATTATTTAATTCTATATAGCTGTTCAAGTCCCCTCACATAGGATAATGTAACAAATGTCAATTATACATTTACTATACATCGTTAATGTTAACTATTATTTTTTTAAGAATTGTTTTATTAACTTCATTGATTTATTGGTTTATTTTCATTTGACCAGAGAGAGAGAGAGGGAAAGTAAACATGTCTGGATTTTCATTTGACCAGAGAGAGAGAGGGAAAGTAAACGTGTTTGGCCATGTAGGTGTCCAACGCCCTTAACCACCATGCCACCTGCCAGTCCCAAAGTTAAGTTTTATTACTCCTATTATTTTATTTTACTTTTTTTTTTAATCTCCAGAGGGTGTGTATACTGGGAAGGAAGAGACAGAGGAGAAAGCACCCCCCCTAATGGGGCATGATCACGCTGCAAACCCTTCATTTCCCCTCCCCTCGGTATTCGGGCGCACACTCATCTGCACCAGGCATGGTTTTCAAGCCAACTGGGGCTAGGATCTGAACCACGGCTGGAGAGTAGGAGCTGGCTCTCTTAAACACTGCGCCATGGGCCCAGCACACTATCATTTTAAACCGAAGAGAGGACGGCCAGAGTGCAGAGGTAGCATGGGCTAGTGCTTACTTACGCCTTTCACATGCCACGCACTACTGTAGTGTTTTATGTGTCATTGCATTTAATCCACGAAACAATCCTGAGAGAAAGTGAATCTTCTATTTTACAGAGGAGAAAATGAGCTTAGAGAGAATAAGTATTTTACTCAGGGTCACAGAGCTAAAAACGTATCATTCTCAGTCACTTCATTCTGCTCACCAGACACACAGAATAAGACTTCCAGTTAGGAAGAGCGAACTAGAAGTTGACTCCAACCCAAGTTTAAGACTAGGAGAACTGCCTAGACCTTTCTGACTTCACTTATTTATCTGAGAAGGACATTTCTTTTTTTTCGTTTTGGAGAGGTTTTTTGCTATAGGGTGAGTGCGCTCACCAGAAAGACAGAGAGAGACAGAGAGACAGAAAGTGAGAAATCACCCCCAAGGGGGTATGGCCACACCACAATCCTTTCTCCTCTCAGGATATTGGGCCATGCATGCACACGCGCCTGGCATGAGTTTAAACCACTGAGTCTGGGACTTGAACCACAGTCGACTATATGGGAGTCCAGTGACATAGCCATTACGTCAACTGCTGGTCCCGAGAAGTACATTTTTTTAAGTCTCACCTTCTTACTTGTTCCTCAGAAAAAGCCCACAGACCATTCTACTTTTGAAAAATGCTGTCTGCGAGAGTAGAGGTGTTGATGGTTAGCATTAGCATTGGAGACCCTGCATCCAGGTAGAAATGAGCCATACTTCCATGGAGTGGCAAGGATACACATATTTCCTGTTCAGTCAAGAGGCTCTTAGCAGGACCAGCAGGTGGCATGGCGGCTAAGGCACTGGACTCTCCCATGGCTGACCATGTTTGAGTCCTGGACCTGGTGGCTTGCTTTCTTGGAGAAGTCTGACCCAGCGGGGCCCCAGGATCTGTTTGAGCCTTTGACCTTTGAGCACAGCCTTGATCGGCTCAGCATGTTGGCAAGGCCGCTGCTGTTTGCCCCCCTCCTTCCCCCCACTTATGAGCAAAGCTTGGGTTGACTCAATATGTTGGCAAGGCTGCTTGCTGTATGTTCCGGACGGCTCAGCATGTTGGCAAGGCCGCTGCTGTTTGCCCCCCTCCTTCCCCCCACTTATGAGCAAAGCTTGGGTTGACTCAATATGTTGGCAAGGCTGCTTGCTGTATGTTCCGGAGACTGCAATAGCCTTGCTGGGAAGTGACCCCCCCTCTGACTCCCTGATATACTACTATAAAAGAATTACACAGCTCTCTCATACATCTTGAGTATGTGGTAAGATTTCCCAAAAGTCCCTGACCACTCCCTTTTGCCCTGACCACCTACTGTTAATTACAATGCTTCAACCCTGTGGTCACAATGGAGGGTGTGCTGAAGTTCCATCTAGGCAGAAATCTTCTTGACCTTTGGAAGGCCCTTCAAGACACATTTAATATAAATAACCTTTTTACATACAATAGGATTAGGCCAAGACTGGCCCAGGACACTCTTGCCCCATGGTAACTAATGTTCTAACAAAATACATAACAGTGGTGCCATAGGCTACACAAGTGAATTCACAACAAAATACTTAAGTATACCACAAACCCATTTTAAAGTTTTTCATTAACTTGTTAGCCACTTTACTTTTGACTTAAGAAAAACCTGTACTGCCAGTTGGAAAAGCTGTTTATAGTATCCCCTTACTCTCACCAAGTGAACAGTAGGTTCATCCCTTTAAAATAGATAGATATATTATTCCTTGAATTAAATTTTAGATCCCTATAGAATTATATAAGTATCATTCTTTATTGAGATCCATAAGAACTAATACCTATACTTGAGATTTTCTTTT